CTGTTCAACCTATACAGTAAGGCAATTCTGAGAGAATTGGAAACAGTAGCAGAATTCAGCACTGGCTGCCAGTCTTAACAACATAAGATACGCAAATGACACAGTACTGATAACGGACACGGAAAAGAAATTACAAAATCTCCTACAGAAGGTAGCGATGGAGAGTGTGAAGAAGGGACTAAGTATAAACTACAAGAAAAACAAAATGCATGGTCATCAGTAAAAGGATGAGCCCGAAATGCGATTTGCAGGTCAGAAACACTAGAATCAAGCAGATGCGGAATTTAAAATATCTGGGAAGCGTTATGACAGAGGACGGTAAGTGTGACACTGAGATCTATAGACGTATTGGGATGGCCAAGGACACATTCCAAAACAGGGCAGAGCATTACGAGACAGTAGGATTTCTTTGGTAACAAAGAAAAAATACCGAGCTCTTGCGTGACATCTGTCCTTCTTTACGGCAGCGAATGTTGGACGATTACCTCAAAGATGAAGACTCGAGGCGACGGAGATGTGGTTCTACAGAAGGATTCTAAGGATATCATGGACCGAGCGTGTGAGCAACGATGGGGAAAACAAGGAGGAGGCTTATACTTAACATCATCAGGAAGAGGTAGCTGAAGTTTCTGCGACACATAATGAGGAAGGAGGGCCTGGAGAATCTGATACTTACGGGTCGAATAGAGAGAAAGGGAGACAAGGGAAAACAAAGCGTGGCATACCTGGCGGGCTTAAGCAAGTGGATGATAGAATGTGGTCTGCGGGAAGAAGCAGAGGGAAAAAACTTGCTGAGGGCTGCAAGGGATAGAGAGTGGTGGAGAGCCATGGCCGCCTACGTCCTGAAAGGACATGGTACATAAAAAGAAAGAAGCTAGAAATAATTGTAATCCTGGGTATGACTATAAACTACATCTGGCAACAAGGCCTCTGACCGAAAGAATGGAGATTTTCAGGAGCGTAGAACCATCTCTAATTGACTGTTGCTCTCAGACGCATCTTAACCCGGGGTGATTGCATTTGTTAGGGTCACCTCTGGCCTCTGACCGAAAGAATGGAGATTTTCAGGAGCGTAGAACCATCTCTAATTGACTGTTGCTCTCAGACGCATCTTAACCCGGGGTGATTGCATTTGTTAGGGTCACCTCTGGCCTCTGACCGAAAGAATGGAGATTTTCAGGAGCGTAGAACCATCTCTTATTGACTGTTGTTCTCAGACCCATCTTAACCCGGGGTGATTGCATTTGTTAGGGTTACCTCTGGCCTCTGACCGAAAGAATGGAGATTTTCAGGAGCGTAGAACCATCTCTTATTGACTGTTGTTCTCAGACCCATCTTAACCTGGGGGTGATTGCATTTGTTAGGGTTACCTCTGGCCTCTGACCGAAAGAATGGAGATTTTCAGGAGCGTAGAACCATCTCTTATTGACTGTTGTTCTCAGACCCATCTTAACCCGGGGGTGATTGCATTTGTTAGGGTCACCTCTGGCCTCTGACCGAAAGAATGGAGATTTTCAGGAGCGTAGAACCATCTCTTATTGACTGTTGTTCTCAGACCCATCTTAACCCGGGGTGATTGCATTTGTTAGGGTCACCTCTATGGGAAAATAGTGTTTTAATTTTTGTTTGTTTGTGTGGTGGTTTCCTAAATGTAATAATATATTTTTTATAGCAAAATATCAATCAATAAATCACTCAAGTAGCAAATATATTTTTATTGTAAAATTACCAGCAATACATTTTTATACGAAAACGGTAATCAATGCAAAACTAAAAAGTATAACAATATATTTTTGTAGTGAAATGACCAGCAATACATTTTATCATCTACAAACTATATCTCTAAAAAACATATGTTTACTCTGAAAGTATAAAATTATGTATAAAATATCTGTTATGGTAATTTACCCACATACGCATAGACTCTCCCAGTTTCCAGCAGTCAGTTCTGACAGTCGGACCGAACATTCTTACTGTAACACTCTTGTTTGCATATGTTTGTATTACTGTTTCTTTTAATATATTTGTGTAACTCAATTCCTCTCTTGCGTTTTTCTTTCTGGTCCTAACAAGGCCACAACAGTATGTTACATAAAAACAAAGAAAAAAAACAGATTTAGTGCGTAATCAGCCGTAGACAGAGATAGAGATGATGACGAGAAGAAAACTGACCCGAGACGGTAGCACCTGTTAGGGTTGCAGATTTGAGCACATAGTGAAACCCAAAACCCAAAATCAACAGTACATTATTATAGTAAAATTACCAGCAATACATTTTTATAGGAAAACGGCAATCAATACAAGATTAAAAAGTATAACAATATATTTTTGTAGTGAAATGACCAGCAATACATTTTATCATCAACAAATTATATATCTAAAAAAATATACGGTTGCCTTGAAAGTTAAAATTATGTCCAAATTATCTGTAGATGAAAACACAAAACTGCATACAAAATATATAGGCTTTGGTATTAAATAACTCATAGAGTTTGATATGAGGCTAAATTAAAAAAAATAAAACCAAAACTAGAAATAACTGTGACTGCCCTGACGGATGAAATGAGAACATGCCGACTGCACCATCTACAAAGTGTTAAGGCGTCTTCTTCGGTTATGGGCAGTGTCTCTTCAGGACATTGGCGATCATGGTTCTCCACGATTTCCAGGGCTTTGCAACTCTTAATTCTTTGTAACTGCTAGTCGGCCGGCCTGCAGTTTCAGATTTGTCTCCAGTTGGGCTGGTTAAACTCTCTGCCTCCTGGCAGAGACGATCCCCAGACAGGGCTGTGCCGAAGGGCAGAGTCTCGTCTCGGGAAACACCTACCCTACCTCGTTTTATACGGGGTCTACGGGGAATTTTTGGCTAAGCCTACGGGCTCGGGAACCCCACATTAAATTCGGCCTTGTGCCACATTTGACTGCGTATGGCAGTTGGTAGATATCGTCCTTTGCAACTCTTTAGAAATTTGGTCTTTTTTGTTATCTCTCTTAAACCTTGATCTGCCATGCAAATACTCAAGTTCGTTAAGTAGGTTACGCATTGTTTTCCTATCTACCTCTTGTTTTCCTTTAAGTATCAATTTTTCCAAGCCCTCTTTCCTCATCATGTAACCAAAAAAATTTCAACTATCTCTTTTCTGATGTTAAGTATAAGTATCCTTTTTGTTTCCATTTTCCATGTTCGATCGATTACTATTTTCGATCCATAGTATTTTAAGCATCGGTTTTTAGAACCCCATTTCTTTGTTGCTTCAATTCTCTTCTTCATCTGGGAGGAGATTGTCGAGCATTCACTGCCGTAGAGGAGGGCTGATGGTACGTAACCTTTCAGTGCTCTTTTATTTGCTTCTAACGAAATTCTCTTGTTTCCTACCCGACAGAAAAGGGGCCATCGAACAAATAATATAGAGACACATATATAAGTCGTCAAAATTTAACTATTCCCCAAACAAGTAAAGGCTTACAGACTCAAATATAAACAAGGATTTACCTATTCCCGAACCAATGAATTGCTTATAGACTCAGATATAAACGACAAATATTTAACTATTCTCGAACTAAGTAAATACTTATAGACTCCGATATAAATGAACTACAATTTACCTCTTCAACAACAAAGTAAATCCTTAGACACCGGGTATATATTTGTATTTTGTGACGTAATAATACTGAATTCAATTCATGGGTGTAGAGGTTTTGTGATGACATCGAACGATCGTTGCCACGTTTGTGATGTTATATCAACGAATACTCGTTGTCACTTTTCGTAATGTTCGTTCTAGTAGAGACTTTGTAATCGCAGATACAACTAGAGTAACGCCGTTGAACAATGCCGATGTCAGACGCCTTCAAATAGCACTCGCACTAATAGTACTTGCTCGATAATACTCGCCCGAATAGTAACCACTGAATAGTGATCCGTATAGAGAAATAGTATGGTGAATAGTACAGAGATACAGGATAGTGTAGAAAGAGCGATCAACTAGATGTGACTTTAATTTCCATATGTACATTTCCTTTGCATCACGAGATCTACTTATTCAAAATGGGATCGCCTGTATTTGCTCTCTGGTGATATGTGTTCAAACTCCAGTGTCGGCAGCGACACTTTATTCATAAAAAAAAAGGTTAGCCGGCTTAAACTCATTTGAAACAAGACAAACAATAACTGAACCGTATTAAATAAGAATGGATGGAATATTGGTTAGCGGCTCGAACTGAGGAATGGGAGAGCCGAGTTCGAATTCCAGTCGAATTCATTATATTCACTTATGTGCTAATACCATTGGAATCCATCTCTTCTCTTCCAAGGTATGAGTAGAATAGCAGGATAGACTAGATCCTTTAGCTTTAGGTGGCAAGCAGTCTAGGAGAAGGAGACTGAATTCAAACCGAATCGCACTATCCTAAAAGTCATGCATTCGGCTGGGTAGCGCTTATGAATCCAAATTCCCAGTGAAGCGCCTACTGTTTGCACGTCCTCGGGTGCGGCGTTAAAAAGAGCTCAATCTTTCATAGGGGATCGAGAGGAACTAATTTACTCCTGTCGTCCCTAGACATGAACAGCGGAATGAGATTAAATAAAAGGTTCAGTTTGAAATATCCTGAAGGTTTCGCGGATCGACAATCACATGAACACAACGACCGAACTGTTATAATAAAAACAAAATGAGGACATTAATCCGAGAATAAATAATGTAAATAAACATGGATCGAGTTTCTCATTGTGGGGTAGTAGCTGCCCCGCTAATCTCAAAGATTATCACGTATTGAGCAGGTTGCTGGTTTATAAACTTGATCCAAAGGAAGCTTAGATTTTTTTTCATCAATAATCCGACAGTCACACATTTTTACGGTTCACCATAGAGTCTAAATGTTTGCTTGAACACTAGCCGTTTCGGTTGGTGTTAAAATTTTGGATTAAATTAATGTCATCGACGGTAAATCATAGCCGAACTATTCATTTTTAGTCAGTCGTGGACTCGAGTAGTAAATCCATGTTCAAAATATTAGGCCGATTACAATCCCAAACCTCCTCCTCCTCCTCCTCCTCCTTCTTCTTCTTCTTCTTCTTCTTCTTCCATCTCCTCCTCTTCTTCTTCCTCCTCCTCCTCCACTTCTTCTTCCTCTTTCTTCTCTTCCTCCTCATCCACCTCTTCTTATTCCTCCTCCTCTTCTTATTCCTCCTCCTCTTCTTATTCCTCCTCCTCCTCTTTCTTTTCCACCTCATTGCTCCTCTTTCGTCTCCTCCTCTTCCTCACTCTTCACCTCCCCTTATTCCTCCTTCTCTTTCGCCTCTTCCTCCTCCACCTCGTCTTATTCCTTCTCCTCCTCCTCCAGTGAATGTAAACGGCGATGTATTTCATGACTTCTACGAATGAGCAGCGTAAATCATTTGGTTAATAAACTTTAACTAAAGTTGCAAAGCAGTTTCTACACTCTTATCACGAAGACTTTGTTACTCGTCCTTCTAGGAACCTTCAGGTACCAAAAAAAAATGCTTCGCCCTTAAATAACCCCCAATATTTTTGTTATGGGACCTACCTTCATGGACTAAATGGACTCGTCCTATTACTATATATACGGGGAGATTATGCCTCTCAAGAGAGCGGTCTACAGTTGACGAATTGACGACTGTACTTTGCCGTCAGTCGGACGTGCAACACTTTTGTATTCGTTCTTTTTGTTAATAATCTGTTTTCACTAAATTGCTGAGTTCGAGTTTTCTTTTCGGATCTATTCTGGGTCCACAACAGTTTTGTAAACCGTAAAAAAAACCCGCATTGGTCTCGATTAATCTCAATCCCACCGTTCAACGTACACCAGGATTTCCCCAGTTTTGTCTACACTGATGTAAACGTGAATTGAAATAAATGATCGAACCGTAGTCTAATACTAGACTACTTTTATGTGCTATAGTCTTTTAAGACATGAGCTAACGTAGCTCTCCACAACTTCCTGCCTCTTGTTTTCTAAATAACTTTTGATTCGTTACCATCCCTCTTGGGTATATTTCTGCTAAAATACTTTTATGGTAATTGGTCGGATGAGCTCTTCTCTATGACACCTGAACTTTATGAATTTAAGCGCAGTACCAGACTGACATCGCGATCTCATCAATTTACAGTTGAGCCTGGATAGAAGTAACCGTAAAGTCTATGCTAACAGTTTCTTTTCTCGCACTTCTCCCTCGTGGAACTCTCTTTTGGCTACATGCTTGCCAGTCAGCTATAATCTTCAACCCTTTCTGCCTTAGTGACTTTACTGCTTTGCTTGGAGTGAACTCGATTAAAAACATCTATCGATACAAAATTATTAAGTAGGTTGTTCGCTCTTTCTTTGATTCTCTTTTCTTCAGTCTTTCCTGTGCGTGTTTAATTCTCCAAACCGCTCGTCTTCATAATGTATGTTACAAGTTTATCTTTCTGATAATAACCGACAAAGTTAACCTGGCCGTTGATCTCGAAAAGGGCTTCCAATCAGGAAATGACTTGTAAATTTTAATGCCTCCAAAATGAAACTGCTCTCATTTAACCACCATAGAGAAACCTCCCTGTCCCCTAATCAGCATGGCTGATGGCCGACTTCAGGAGAGTGTTTTAATGCACATTCTTGGCCTTACGTTTTCCACTGACTTGAGGTGGAAAAACTACATTGAATCAAAAGTTGCATCTCCCGAAAGGAAAGTTGGTTCTCTGTGCCGTGCCAGAAGGTTTTTCTCGTTTTTCCATCTTACACACCTACAAATCTTACCATTTGTCCATGCATTGAATACTGTTGCCATATATGATCTGGTGAATCTGGTCTTCATCTCGAGGTTTCTCGACAAAATCCAAAGAGGAATCTGCAATGTGATCGGCCCTGACTTGGCATCTCGTCTCCAGTCACTTTCCCACGGGCGTGATTTGGCATCCCTCTCTCTTTACAACAAATATTTTCATGGCAACTGCCCTGACGAGCTATTTTCCCTGATTCCCTGACTGCATAGATTTAAGAGTACCGCTGGGTTAGTATCTAGGTCACATCCTTTTACTGTTGAAACAGTTAAACGTAACCGCCTTTTCTACTCCAACAGCTTCTTCTCTCGCACTTCCAAACAGTGGAACTCCCTTCCTTTTACTTGCTTCTCTGATAGCTACAAACTTCTGATACATTGATCACCGTTCATATTTCTATCGTAAATCCCACTTATACTGAGTCTTTTCTCTTACATTCACTCTCTGTAACTTCTTTCGTACTAGTGGCATTCCCGCCGTGTTTGGGCTGAAATGCTTAAAAAAAAAAAAAACTCTATACGTTTTCTTGTAACGTCTATTAAGTCTTCTTCGGTGTTTCTTCTGTCTAGAGAATTCCCAGCATTCATCGGTAAAAATACATCTTTATCCCTTAATTTCTATCTGAAGTGATTGTCTATTAAATACCTGTATCTATACATCTCTAAAAAGAATACCCGCTCGGCCCGGTGGCTAGGATCAAAGTGTAGTATCTGCGCTTTGTGAGCTGCCGGGTCGGGTGTCTGTCGAACTCTCTGCTTGCAGAGGGGAACCCGGATGAAGCTCCGCCGAAGGGTGGGGTTTCGTTCGGGGAGGTTGACGGAACTAGCCCGCTTGGACGGGTTTAGATGGTTTTATTTTTTGGCTGGGCCTACGGCTCAGACATACCCACATTAAAAAGGCCTTGTGCCACATTCAATTCCTGTGGGTGAATTGATAAATACCGTCTATTAAATACCTTTAAATATTTTATAAATCATCTACATGTTATTTTTATTACTCTAAACTTTACTTTAATTAAATTATCGATGCATTCTTTGCTTATTAAGTCTCCCATGAATTTCAGCATTTCCTTTCCGATTGCTAGCATCAGTTTCCTTGTAGAATGTCACTTTAGCCACATGCTCTGTCTATGTTAATCTTAGAACCCGTCTCTAGAACCACAACTAGAGTGCTTCAAGTCTTTTCTTTTCTCTGTGTGGTGCAGACAACCCTGATTATCTCCCCCTTATGACTATTGTAAAAGTGATGGTCGAACACCACATATGTCTCGTTATCGAAACGTTTTCAATAAAGCTTCATGACAAGCTTAAAAGTTTCATTATATTCTGCGAGATGATTTTTCATTCATTTTTTCTTAAATATATTCTCCTCCTTTATGTGTCCCTCTTCTTATTAATATCAATTTATCTTTATTAAATTCACGAAGCATTCTTTTCTTATTATACAGGGTTAAGTTGTAATGGAAGCTTCTACGATTGGAGTCATAAGTAGTTTAGCATAGAAATGAAAAAAAATAGGATTAAAGTTTATATATATATATATATATATATATATATATATATAGGCACGGTGGAGTAATAGTTAGCCAAGTTCGAATTTTAGTCGAATCCTTTAAATTCTAATGCCTTAAAATTTTAAATGTAGCCGTCTCTTCTACTCCAATAGCTTCATACCTCGCACCTCTCGCCTGTGGAACACCATTCCCAATTACTGTTTCCCTGAGAGCTATAATCTCCAACTATTCAAATGTAATGTCAATCGACATCTCCAGTTACCTTGATCTATCCACTATCCCTCTCCTCATCCTTTCTTCTATCACTCCTATCTGCTCTTGCTCCTAATCTTCTGCAACCCCCTGCATCCTCCTGGCTTTACGCCTTGCTCGGGGCGTAATGCTTAAAAAAAAAGTATTACGCGCTAAAACCCTTGGAAAAGGTTTGAATCCTCTTCTTATCCCTCAAAATAAGGGCAAATAGCAGAGCAGACTGTGTTCTATAGCCTTGGATAGCAACTGGTCTAAAAGAAGGACAACTCTGAATTCAAAACCTGCGGATGGTCGGTTGGAGACCTTGTGGCACGTAGTGCACCAGGTCTCTGTATTCGGCCCTTCAAAAAGGGTGGATGTTTCTATACTGAACTTTCACCATTCAAATCAAATCACATATGCTGGTGTCAGACTGTCGGTTCCTTGGAACTGAGCTGCTTGACCCTCATATGTCGAATACGGCGGAAAAGTCGAAGAGTTGAATATATATATATATATATATATATATATATATATATATATATATATAGAGTGTATCAAAAATACTTTTAGAAAGTTTGGGGGCGGGTTCCAGACACCAAAACAAGGTAAAATATTCATATAATCATATGTCTAAAAGGCCATGTAGAATGCGTAATTAATGGTCAGGTGTGCGAGCGGATCTCGGTCTTCCTCGATCTATAGTTTATGGTGCCACGGATCCTGGGTCAGCAACGCGACGATAAACAGCAGCAAAGGTTGGATGGCTCGGCTGCGTTCGGTCTGGAAACACAATCTGATACAGCCGTGCAGCCTCGCGTCCATTACCATTCGCGCGGGCGTATGTAAAAATCATATCTGCCTGCTCATGATATGATATCCTGCCATTGTTAAACAGAACACTTCTCAATTAACTCAGTACTACATACGTTATGCCTTGCTACAAATGTGCACGAAAACAAACGTAACCTATTCTGCATAGCAACATGGCGTCATCTACCATGAACTTACTCTAAACTTAATAACTCAAAAACGAAGGATTTGCGGACATATGTTTATATGGACTTTCATCCTTGCTTTGGTGTGATGAACCCGCCCCCAAAGTATGTAAAAATATTATTGATACATCCTGCATATATGGGAGTGAAGAGCTTTGATGTCATGTGAAGTTTCTACTTCAAATAGTACGTCCGATCTAGGCAATTGATTCATGACAAAAAACACGGTTTTGTACTTAGCAATGAAATTTGTACACTATATGGGTCATCGCTAGTTTAGATTTGATGAGGTTATTTTGATTAGTTTGCGGTTTTCCTTTTTCACGCATTTATCCCAGCGTCCCTTCCAGTAATCTAGATAATCTGAAAATTCCTCTTTCGTGACTAACATAAACTGCCTCGTCGCATTCTCTTAAATCTGGTTCAATGTTTAAAATATATCGATCAAATGTGATGTTTATCCTAGGGTTTTTAAGAGCCACATATTTTATAGAGGAAAATCTGGATTGTGAGGTATCGTGCTAAAATACCTGGGGATGTGTGATACTAAACTGCTAGACACATGACGTGGGGATTAGGATATATAGATATTCAGAAGATATTAAGTTTGTCTTTCTTTCTTTTTTCTTTCTTTTCTTTCTTTCTTTCTTTCTTTCTTTCTTTCTTTCTTTTAATCAGTTTTCCTATATAGCTGATTTAATTTCTCATATCTATCTATCTATCTATTTATCTATCTATCTTACATGTTTTCCTGAAATTACGGCAGAAATATGGCGTATATCCTGACGGTCGTCTTTCCTAATTATGTATCCCAGAAATTTCAGATGTCTCGTTGTTAGTGTCCTTTTTGTTTCCATTTTTATTAAAACCACCTTGTTGCTGACATCCTTTTTTCATGGTATTCAATGCATCCTTGTGTAGAACCACATCGCTGTTGATTCCTATTCATATGAGTAGAAATTGTCCAGCATTCATTGCTATATAGAAGGATTGATATTATATAGCAGTCCTCTACTATATTCCGTTTCCAAAGATGGCAATGTTTCCGATTAAAGCAAAAATCTATGCTACGGTGGAGTAATGGGATTGATGAATAGCGGCTCAGAATCAGGAACCGGAGAGCCGAGTTCAAATTCCAGTCGAATCCATTACAACCATCTATGTGCTAATACCCTTGTGAAAGGTATGATTCCTCTTCTTCCCCCACCAGCAATGGGTAAATAGCTGTACAGACCGGCTTCTATAGCCTTGGATGGCAGCTGGTCCACCGCAGAAAAAATGGCAACCTATTGCGGGAAAAAAGACTGCCTCGTCAGTCATGCATCGAAAGATACATGATCGCCTAAGCGTGTATCACGCATGGCACATAACTGACTGAAACAATCAGTAAAACATTAAACTTGTAAAGATTGAGAATCTGGTAGGCTAGGGTTTATTGAGATTTGTATTTAGCTTAGGGAGGTATGGTGGAGTAATGGATAGTGGCTCGGATTGAGGAATCGGAGAAATGAGTTCGAGTTCTAGACAGATCCATTACATTCACTTACGTGTGAAAAATCTTGGGAAAGATATGAATCCTCTTCCCCCCCCACCTCCACAGCTATGTAACAGGAGAAACCGGGTTCTATAGCTTTGGATGGTAACTGGTCTACCGCAGAAAAATGGCAACCGACTGCGGGAAAACATCTGCCTCGTCAGTCATGCATCAAAAGATACATGATCGCCGAAGCGTGTATCACACATGGAACATAAATGACTGACTCTTTGAATTTAAGCGCAGTACTAGATTGGCGTTTCTATGCTAAGAGTTTCTTTTATGGCTTTAAATAATCCGCAAAAGGTTGATAAGCTATGAGAAGCTAATCCAGTGGTTCTCAAACTTTTTGAAGTCGAGACGCACTTGAAATCCTACCAATAATTGTAGGCGCACTATATCCAAATTTCGAAAAAAAAATATGTTATAATGAAATCAAATATTGCAGAAAAGAAATAATGCAATAAAAAAATATAAAATAAATCATACCTTAACTTTATTCATGTGTGTGTGTGTGTGTAACGAATGCAGGGCGCAATTTACGACGGATTTGCACCAAAATTTACATGCACATGCTCCAAGTTAGCAGAAAGGCCAAGACCAACATTGCATTTCCCAACTCCCATCGATAGTGGAAATAATCGATTTTTTCATGCTTCTACGGCAGTTTTGATGTAATTTGCGGCCATTTTCTACTGACCAGAGTGAGAGCCTATAGTTGGATGCCACGAATAGGCAGGAAGATTCTATTGGCCAGCGTGAGAGCCAAAAGCTGACTGACACGAATGTTAACTAGCATACTAGCATGCAAAAAAAATCGATAGCTGCATTCGTCACAAGTGGGTAAAAACTTAAATCTGCATGGCACTTTACTCCAATTGGCTCATTCGCTTACTTAAACTCAACGTGGATTCTGATTCCGCAGAACTGGGTTGGGTGTGAAAAAGTATTTGTTGTTAATATTCTTTTTTTCATTCGGTTTTTCCAGTTACGAGTCTTTTTTTTAAAGCTGATCGTTTTGTGTTCATTTTGTTTAGTTCTTTTTTCGTAACAGATTTAATGTTTAGTATAGAGCTTAGAAAAAATTCGCAGTGTGAGATAGGCAAGAAGTAAGGCATGTAGCAACATCAGCACGGCAAAGGGCACTCCTTTAAAGGCAAACATATTTTAGGTCAAGTGATAGCGATTGCTGTATGAGTATTTTGAATCAAGCACGGGCAACGCTGTATATATATATATATATATATATATATATATATATATATATATATATATATATATATATCATATCTCTAGCACGACTCTGATTTTCATGAACGACACAATCTTCGGGTGCAGAGTTTAAACACACACATACATATATATATATATATATATATATATATATATATATATATATATATATGTGTGTGTGTGTGTCATTAAACGTTATTTCAAGAGTCCTTTTTAAAGCTGATCGTTTTGTGTTCATTTTGTTTAGTTCTTTTTTCGTAACAGATTTAATGTTTAGTATAGAGCTTAGAAAAAATTCGCAGCCTGAGATAGGCAAGAAGTAAGGCATGTAGCAACATCAGCACGGCAAAGGGCACTCCTTTAAAGGCAAGGAAGGGCAAACATATTTTAAGTCAAGTGATAGCGATTGCTGTATGAGTCGTACGATTTTTGAATCAAGCACGAGCACAGCCAGGCCATACTGCTAGTTATAAATATAGTATTTCTTTTATTGCGAGACAACAACGCTCGGAAGTGGGCGGAATTTTCCCCCAGCCATATGACGGCATTCCATCATTTCAGTGGGCAGTATTTTCTCACAACTTGCCGTCGCATCACTGCAACATCGGTGATATTTATTAACAGCACGGTCGATAGCTCGAGGAGGGCAAATTCCATTTGAAGATATTCGCCTTTGTGTTGCTGACTATAGCTGAGATAAGCTTCGGAGACCGAAAAGCGGGAAATTGCTCTTAAACGATGTGAAAATAAACAGTACTAAATATTAAATGTGCCATTTCTAAAGGTCTATTTTTATGGATAATTAACATGGGATATTGACGCAAAGATGACTGTATCACGCGCCTGTAAAGGTGATGCATCCCCAGCTTGGTCTTTACATGTATTTTCACTTTCAGATTAAGTAATGTATGAGGTATGCCCAAAAAATGTTTCAACTATTGTATATTAACCAAAAAATAGCCTACCTCGACTAAAGGGTACGTTGTCCACTTAAAAGTGGACCAAACGCATTTATTCCAGGGTACCTTCCAGTAATCTAGATAATCTGAAAATTCCTCTTTCGTGACTAACTGCCTCGTCGCATTCTCCTTAAACTCGTCCAATGTTTGAAATATCTCGATCAAATGTGATTTTTATCCCAGGGTTTTTAAGAGCCACATATTGTATGGATGCAAATCTGGATTGTGGCGCATTGTGCTAAAATACCTAGGGATGTGTTGTTTTACTAAAATTAGTAAATGTAGGAAATTAGCCCATATAGATATTCAGAAGACATTAAGTCTATCTGTCTTTCTTTCTTTTTTCTTTCTTTCTTTTTTCTTACTTTCTTTTAATCAATTTTCCTATATAGCTGATTTAATTTCTCATTATCTATCTATGTATGTATCTATCTGTCTATTCTTTCAATATCTATCTATCTATCTATCTATCTATCTATCTATCTATCTATCTATCTGTCTGTCTGTCTGTCTTTCATACATACCCGAACTCGAGGAATTGCCTTTGGTTTACTCAAACTTAGATAAATTAATTAGAATCGGCCAAGTATGAGTAAACGAAAGGCAATTCCTCGAGTTTTGGCAATACAACAGTTACTGTACAGTCAAGGAATGCTGAATGTTTCCTTATAAGGAAACGTCTAATCACGATATTATAACGATAACTTACGCTGCCTGCACATCCATTAATATAATGCATTTCTTCTCTACCCGTGTCTCTTTAGAACGTGGCCGATCACAGCTCTCCTCAGTTTCCTATCCCTTGTAACTTTTTGTAAAGTATTTATTTTCGTTATCTATCCAAATACCTACCCTGTCATCCATTTACACAAACTACTTACATAGGTTAAACGCTGATTTGTCTCTGTACTTGTCTTCATTATTTCCTGTGAGTGTTAAATTTTCCAAGTCCTCAGTCCTCATTATTTGTTTTAGAAAATGACACTGTTTCTTTCTGATCCAAATTGTAATGTGTAATTCTTTTTTTGGGGGGGTCATTTGCCCTAAAACCTCGTCATTACATAAACATTCGACATTACATGAGATTTTAAGCGTCCTTTTCTAAACCTATATTTCTGTTGGCTCAAAACTCTTCTTTATCTGTGAGGAGATTGTCAAACATTTTCGTCCCAGATAAGAGGAATATTACATAACAGTTTTCTACTTTGTTTCTAACAAAATTTTCCTGTTCCTTAATACTTTGCTTAGCTTTTGGAAGGAATCTTTCGCTATCCCAAAGCGCTTTCGGATTTCGATGTCATATTTTCCATTCCCTGTTAAAACAGCTTTCATAGATTTGTCTATATTTCTGAAATGAGGTGTTATGAAAACTATTTACAATATTCGGACCATTGTCCTCATCTTTGTTGCCATATTTATCACAAGGTTTCGGCCGATGTACGCTTCTTAAGGACACATGGCACACTGGATAAAGGCGTGGTTAGATCCAGCGGCAGGACCCAAAGAGTTGTGAGTTCAGTACCTAGTTAAGGCAGTGGAGAACTTGGAGAGGTGAATTAACAGGAGATAACTGATAAGTGACATCCATTAGACATGGCACGTGGAACTAGAATAGTCTACCCCAGCGAGCGAAATAAAGGGTTCAGGTCGACATTTCAACCACCTGAAGAAGGCCGGAGCGTCCATCGGCCGGAACTTTGTGATAAATATGGCAACAAAGATGAGGACAATAGTCCGAATAATGTAAATAGTGTACCTTTCATATATTTAGATACTTCTATTTTTTAATTCCGACATCTTCAATTCGTTGTTCGTATCTTGGACTGTTCCTCTTGCAGACAAGTTTATATTCTGTCTCTTTTACAATTGATGATTAGTCCTTTCTTCTTGCTTTCCTTTGCTATCTCCAATCAGTTTCCATTCTACAATCAACATTGCGTTATCTGTATTGATTCTTTAAAGGAAAGATTTCTTCTGGGAAGAATTTAACGAACTGATATTAAGGTAGAAATAAAGAGAAGTTTGACTGATTCGTTTTTTTACGGATTATCAACACTTTACAGGTTATTTGAAGCCAGAAAATATTTTTAGCTTATAAGAATTTTTTAAGATAATAATATTTTAGTGATACAATTCTTACTAATTAACCCATAGCTGGGGGATATATGAAATCATACCTTTCCCAAGTATATTTGCGCGTAAGTGAATAAAACGAACCCGACAAGAATTGGAACTCGGCTTTCTGATTAACAATTCCGAACCATTATCCATTAAACCACCCGCACATCGAACCTTAGAGCATCTAGTATTCCCAAGCGGTCACCCATCTATGTACTGACCAGGATCGACGTTGCTTATTTTCGGTGATCGCACGAGAACCGGTGTTTCAATGTGATGCGTAATGTAGTCTTTCTAGTTCCCATTTTCCTTAGAACTACCTCGTTGTTCACATGATATACTCAGCAGCCTTCTGTAGAACCACATCTCTGTCGCTTCAAATTGTTTCTTTTTCATCTATGAAGGAACTGTCTAGCATTTTATTGCCATACAGTTAATTTCTAAAGTAAATACACCTGTTGGGCACGGGGTGGGGTAATGGATAGCGGCTCAGATTGAGGAATCGGAGAGCCGAGTTCGAATTCTAGTCAAATCCATTACATTCACTTATATGCTAATACACTTGGAAAAGGTATGAATCCTCTTCTTCTCCCCTCCAGATATGGGTAAATAGCAAGACAGACCGGGATCTATCGCCTTAAAAGTAGGTTTCATGAAAGAAATGTCAACCTACCCCCCCCCAATCATCCGCACTCATAAACTCTCAAAAGTTCAAATAGTTTTTGACTTATTCACACGAAAACAAGGACAAAAGTCCATATCAACATATGTCCGCAAATCCTTCGTTTTTCAGTTATGTTTAAAGTTTATGGTAGACACTGCTAAATGCACAATCCAAGATACAAGCCAAAAATACTTTTATAAATTTTGGGGGCAGGTTCCTCACACCGAAACGAGGCAAAATGTAAACAAGACCGAAGAGCTGCTCTTGAAGTAACCTCCATGCTGTACTATGAGATGTACGACATGCAAGGGCAACTTGACGTGTGATGATACCTGGATCGTCTCCGACAGCAAAGTGTTCTTCGTGGTCAGGTGTACGAGCGGATCCCAGTCTTCTTCGATCCATAGTTTTTAGTGCCTCAGGACATGTCCCAGAAATGCTACGATAAACAGCAACAACGTTTGGATGACTCGGTTGTCTTCGGTTTGAAAATGGATTCAAATACAGCCGCGCAGCCTCGCGTCCATTACCATTCGCGCGGCCAAAATGTAAAATGCATATCTGCCTCCTCACGATAAGAATATGCCATCGTTAAATGGAACACTTATCAGGTAACTCAAGGCTACACACGTTAAACGTAGACGACAGACTAGCCATGAATGTACACGAATGATAAATGTAACCTAGTCTACAGAGTAACACAGCGCCATCTACCGTAAACTTTTTTTAAAACTTAATAACTAAAAAACGAAGGATTTGCGGACATATGCTTATATAGACTTTTAACCTTGTTTTGGTATCCGCCAACAAATTTTGTATGAATATTTTAGATAGATAGATAGATAGATAGATTAAGGTAGACGCTGTTACTGGGGCTGCTCTAGAAGTACCCTCCATGCTGTACTATGAGATGTACGACATGCAAGGGCAACTTGACGTGTGATGATACCTGGACCGTCTCCGACAGCCTGTACAAAGTCTTCTTCGTGGTCAGGTGTACGATCGGATCTCGGTCTTCCCTGATCCATGGATTGTGTTGCCATGGATACTGTCTAGACAATGCGACAAAAAAACATCAGTAAGGGTTGGACGACTCGGCTGCCTTTCGTCTGGAAACTCAATCTGATACCTTGCGTCCATTACCATTCTCGCAGCCGTATGTAAAAATCATATCTGCCTACTCACGATAAAGCTAACACTTCTCAGTTAAGTCACTACTACACTCATTAAACGTTGAAACAGACTAGTCAAAAATGTACATGAATGACAAATGTAACCTAATCCATTTTGCAACGCAGTGCCACATTCTGTAAACTTTCTTTAAACTTAATAACTCAAAAACGAAGGATTTGCGGACATATGCTTATATGGACTTTTGTACCTGTTTTGGTGTGCGGAACCCGACCTAAAAATTTGTAAAAGTATTTTGATATATATATATATATATATATATATATATATATATATATATATATATATAGATAGATAGATAGATAGATAGATAGATATTTAAAGAAAAACAGACCACTTTAATGTTCCTTTATAATAATTTATTTCACCAGAGCCCTTTTAAACGACGCCGGATCATCAGATAGCACTTCCAAAAATGAAACGAAAAATGAAATGAAAATTGATGGGTAGTGTAAGTTTTTGTAATTTAACAGGAGTGGTTAGAGAGACATGGTAGAGTTTAGGGAGGGTTTTATTTAATATATCTCTCAATCATACTTAGTATTGGGGGAGGAGGAGTGACCAAACCATGACCTATTTAATCGGTTAACTTAACGGAAGTGATAAATTGAAATGGGAGGTGAGAAGAGAGAAAAGAAAAAGGAAAAAAGAAAGAAGGGGGAAGTAAAGAGAAAAAGGCTGCAAACATGGCTTACCTTGATCTTTGTACAATAATTTAACCTTAGCGTCTCGGAGATATATATATATATATATATATATATATATATATATATATATATATATATTTTATATAACAATAAAAAACAACTTTATCGTGTATTAATTTTTTTGTTTAATTATTTAAATTAGGTTCTTCGACTAGTTTTGGCCAGCATGGCCATCATAAGGAGAAAAAAAGTCTCTGTTAGTAGCAGTGAACTACAGGAGTGAATGACTGTCTCTGAAGAAAGTGACTTTTGTCTGTAGCTTTAATTTGTTGTTTGATCGTTAATTTTGGTCAGTCCTTTATTGGTTAAACTGCCTCTTTCACATTTTTTTTTATTTTTAATAGAAGCTTGGGGAATTGTGTCTCAGAATTTCCTACTTAGTCATTTTGACAGCTTTATTGGTTGCTGTGAAGGGGATGTTTGTGTTAAGTGTATGTTATCTTTTAGTTTTTTAGGGAGTGTATGTGATGTGCTTATGTGTGTCTATTTGTGTGAGTGTGTGCATGTGGGAGATTTCAAGACCTCTGCAAGCATGTCTGTCTAATGTGGTTGAGAAACGTGGGTGGGTTTTGATCTATGGGATTTATATATTAATTCTAACTGTGTTTTAGTCTGTGGTTAATTATATGAATAATAAATGTTGTATCGGATATACTGGAAAGTAACAATGTCATGCAAGAATGAAAACCAAAAAACATTTTGACACGGATTTAGTCCCTTTATCATCATTTTGTCTTGGCTTGTTTATATTAAGAACAAAGCAATAGAGATCGCCAAAGACTAACACCGTACTTGTTAGTTACAGCAGTATGTGAAGAAAAAAAAAACGAACACAAGATGAGACTTTTCAACGAGGGGTGGGGGTTCCTAATTAACATCTTGCAGGGCTTAAAAGGCGAAGAAGCGAAAACGTTAATTCAAGTCCATTGGCACAGAGCGTGTCCGTGTAGGTGCAGAACGAAATTGAATTACAAGATTCCTTACATCGGCAACGTGAGCGAGTGCTGTCTCTCACCTTACATCACGTTTCGGAAGTTACTATTACTGATCAGGTTTTTACATGGAAGATATTTTTTTTAGCAGGAGGTTAAATATAAATATCGAAATACTTAATATCTGAATCATTTAGTCGCTTGCTCCTCGATTTTGTGGCTCTTAGGTTAATGGCGAGCAACTTCCTGTCTTTACAGAGTAGACACATTTGGATATTGCTAACGGAGACTGCTAATAGTAGTTTTATTAAAGTGTAAGTTACGATAGCTTGGATTTCGAGATATCTCGTTTCACACTTCCAGTCTAGGCATTGACAGAATATGGAGAAATTTTAAACATTTCTCAAAACGAGTGGACGTGATAAATAAGATGCTTTACAAAAAGTGTATTTTATATAAGAAAGATATTACTTGACGATAGAAAGCTTAAATAATATCACAAGAGGCAAGTTTTCATATTAACTTTGGATAAGGTTAGTGAGGTTATTAGAACCTCGTCACAAGCAACCAAATAATAAAAACGCAAATAAAAAACGCAGAAGGACAGGGTCTATAAAAGCAAAGCCAAAATCACCCAAGAATAGTTATTTATTTGTACGTTAGTACAAAATGTGGCACAAGGCCAAAAAGGGGGTTGGGGAAGGACGGTCTTCTTCTGTCTTAATTCTAAACTTAGCTAGTCACAAACACTGACCCAAACATACCAACAATAATCCTATCACCAAAACAACACATTCACTCCTAACTTTCTTACTGCGTCCACCATAATACCTCAAATTCTCTATAAAATCCTAACTAGTCCCCATATGTACATTTCAAAGTCTGGGGGGGGGACAACAATTTAAAAAGACCCTAATGATTATTTACAGTATGAATTAATACTACTTACATAAAGCAAAACAAAATGGGGTTAGTAATAAAAAAAAAACCACAATCCCTAAATGTGGCAGAAACACCAGTTAACTGGACGAAATAATTGCGGGATTATAACATTATAAAAAAACAAGCACGCCCACAAACACGCACTCATTTAGACACAATAACAAATACGAAAACACATACACGAAACGAAAGTCATCCCACAAACAACCAGAGAACTGACATGACTGACCACCCCTAACGAGGGAGGGATGGGGAATTAAACAAAAAGAAAAATAGGGACAGAAATAAAAGGGACCAATGAGCATGCATACCCTAGCTAAGTTAACCAGAAACGGGAAACTAAAGATTCAAACTAAAAAAAAACTAAACTAGCCTAATATCGGGGCGGGTTGCCTCTGTTCAACCCTGGTAGGACAAAATCCTGTACCTAACCGACATCCAAGTGCCACTCCAGGTCAGCCCCTTTCACTCTACACAGTCGCGCAAGATTTACCCATCTTTTGCCGAATTCTGATGAAGAGAGTCGCCGCCTTTCCGTCCTAATCCTGACTTTAGGCAGATGCCTAAAGTACAAGATCAGTTGAGAAGAGGTGAACTTCTCACCTCCATAGAATCCCTTCTTGACGTGTCGACCAAATCACGACTCTCATAACTCTTAGCAAGCAGTGGAACACATAAAGTTCAGCCTTCGTCAACGGCGGTGCCACATTGCTACAAACAGAAGAGGCCTCAAGGACAAAGAACTTTCCGTGCAACATGCGAACCATGAGGCCTTCAACAAACTTACACAACGGAGCTACCAACTTGCAATGAAAGAAGACGTGACCTAGGGTCTCG